ACAAAGTCAATGGCATAAGGTGCTCTAACCTTACACACTCTTTGTGGACCTACGAACAAAAGAGGTCCACAGGATTCAAGGAAGCGTGAACGCTTTGTGGACGTGCACACGTCCACACTAGGTTTCCCCCTCTCTGGCAAACAGGTTCAGAGGCATTATGGGTCTATCTGTCGCAAAATGAAGAGGAACACTCAAGGCCCTCATCCTGGCAAACACTTCCAGACACAATTCAAAGCATCTTTCAAATCCAGGTGAGAAGAATAATACATGTGCATGTAGTTGTGACGAACTGAGTTTACATAAAGTAGGACAATGCTTTAACAACCACTGCTATTCTGAAGATACATGTACCCCTGTATGGCTACACAATGTAGCTAACATCCTTTTTGGCTCCTAAAATATTGTGTTCCACTAAACTGAGCATTGGCAGCTTGAAAATTACTGTAACAAGCACTATGCTAGATACAGTGTATCCTTTCTGGACCCCATTGCGTTCATTATAGTAAAGTTCTACATGTACTGTACCTGTACCACTTAATAGATTATAGACAAGGTTATAAATTGACTTAACTCTTTCGCTACTGAATTTAATTAACCGTTTTTTCACGTTTGTACATAATAAATCACTGGAAATTCCGCCGTGTGTCGATGTGGACTCCGCCATCTTTAAATGTCTCTCTGTAAACAACCTGCTCAAAATAACCTGCAGCAGACCCCGGCGAGACAGAGAGCCGTTGGCAGCGGCTCAAACTAGGGTCAGAGGTTATACGATATAAATTATGTAAATAAGGCACACGTTATGGGGATACCCCTGTTTATCTACAGTGACGTCCTTGAGCCGCTGCCAGTGGCTTGCCGTACGACATGTACAGTTTTTGTGCGCCGCTATCAGCGGCTCACCATAGCGAAAGAGTTAAATACCAGGCTGTTCTTGAGTCTCCACATGTCACTCCTGCTGATGTATTGATCTTTGAAGACCAGCTCCACCAGGTCCAAGCAAACATCCTGGGTAGATGGGACTGGGTGGACCTCCACATCCTTATAAGCACGTAGCTGAAAGAGACTGGCTATCGTCTGATCAACACTAATTATATCTGCAGGTTCAAAAGAAGTGGAATGTTAGCATTTTAAGTAGTTCATTTGTAGAAAAAAGGAAGAAATGTGAAGAGAAAGGCACCTTTCACAATGGAAAGAAAGGTTTTATTAATTCAGAAAGAAAGGTTTATTTAGGGGAACCCAAGTGATTGGTTAGTCTGACATTCTTTTCAATATTACAATTTGTTTCAACTTTTTCAGTTCAGCAGATTAATAGTTCTGACATGAATAATCACTTATTGAAAAACAGAATGAATAAAACTACCTTTTCCTTTCTGCTGAAGGTCCGTCTGCAAAGATTTCACTTGCAGTAAGAGGTGACTGGAAAAAAAATGAAATATTTGTCCAATTAAATAGGTGAAGTACATGTATGATATAAAAAACAAACAATAATATCTTGAAGGGCCTGCAAATTCTGGAGCGCTGTTATGGCTGTGGTCCAATGGTTATGGTGTTCAACTCCTAGCTATCGTACATGCGTTCGAACTTGATGGAGAACACTGTGCTTGTGTTCCTGGGCAAGACACTTTACTACAATCGCCTCTCTCGACCCTGTGAAGAAAGAGACTAGAATGCCCTGATCTCGAGCTGCTGCAAAACAACACATGATCCAAACCATGGGCACACCAGACCCAAACCAGGCCTAAACCATGGGCACACCATCCCCAAACCATGGGCATACCAGGCCCTAACCATGGTCTCACCAGGCCCAAATTATGGGCATACCAGGCCCTCACCATGGGCCACCAGGCTGTTTTTTTCATGACCACTGGAAAAGAGATGTTTTTATTTGTCCTGCCAGTTTGATGCCTGCAGGAATTGTCAGTGGGTATCTCAAAAGATGAATGTTAAGGGCTACAAAGTGACATTTGATAAGCAGTTAGACAGAAAATGTCCAAACCATATGTTTGCCTCCAGAGTCCAGACACCAGCATGTTATGGTGAAGATAAGTGTTGTAAAGATATTTGAACTAATTGAAAACAGACTTCATAACAAACCAAACTTGTCAATGTAAAAGCTACCCAAACCTCCATAGATGTAGTACTGTGTGAAAAACCATGGCGAATTTGCCAATGAGTTAATGCTCTACAGCCTTTTGACTCGAGGGTACATTTTCATTGGATGCTGGAAATTAGTTGTTACATATTGATTTTGTGGATTTGTTTTTCCAAAAAGTTATTGCTTGTGTTGCTTACAAAATACAGGTAATTTCAATTGGAACCAGGTATTCATTGCCATAAAGATCCGGAACCAGTATAACAAACAATGAAGAAGGGTGTTTCTTACTGTGCACATCCCAAACATCAGCGCACATGTATGTACGCCACCCCTCATAGATATATAAAAAAAAGTAACTCTACAAGCTTTCCATCAGAAGAAATTGAACATGTACACATGTACGTACATTGTAGAATGTAACAAATATGAGTAGTCGACTATAGTCCTTAGATGCACAACGCATAATAGGTGTGTTTCCCGATCAGAAAGGTTTTGTCTGTAGCCTGTATGCAGGCAGAATGTTTCTCGTGAAAAAAAGGGATTGTTACCAGCAGCAGTGAACACTTTTGAGAGTGGGGGCTAAAGCACCGCCAGTGCCTGCTGGGCATTGCAAATTCAAAAGGAGGGGGCTGGGCCAAACCTCATTATCAATAGGGGGCGCCCTTTTCCAAGACTATGCTATTGTGGGACCTAAGCAAGAGTGGGGCCATGCCCTCCCAGTGGAAGAGTGGGGCCATGCCCTCCCAGTGGAAAAGTGGGGGGATCAATGGCCCCCCTCTCCCCCCCCCCTTCTACAAGTAACACTAACCTGCTATCCTCATCAGAGTGAAATATCTCCAAGATGTCTCCAATTCGAACATGAGGAAATTCTTTTGGATTGATAACTAATTCATCTTCTGTATCAACCAAAAAAGAAATAACATAAGAGTATTATAAATTTATGTTTGCAGTCTAGATAAAATTATCATATCATGACTGTAATGATAGGTTTTTAATAAAACTGCTTTGTTTTTAATAAGCTACATGTACCAAAAGAAGAGGTAACAATGATCCAACTATCAAAAATCTAAAGTTTTAAGGAGGCCGGGAGCATGTGAATGAATATGAGTGCCGAGCGCAATTTGAGTCCCCTTCGCAAGTTTAAACTTGCACGCACGCAAGTTTAAACTTGCACGCATTAATTTCCTTGCTACAAATTGCGCACGTAGGCCTAAGTTTAAACTTGCGCACTGCAAAGATTTTCCCACGCATACAAAGCCGCTAAACTATTTTTTTCCGGGTATACTTATGCAAATATGTAACAGTATTTTTAAAGCAGATTTTTTTCTCTGATTTAATAGCATCATTGAGCTTCGGGAGACAATGCCTTAATGCTTTTTTTGAAACATTTTATTAATATGTTAATGATGTTGACTGTGTAGAAATTGGAGAGATATGGAGGGGTAATGCAAACAATAATATTTATACATCATGATGTGTATTATTGTTTATGGTTCATTAGGATTTTTGTTTAATAAACAACATATTTATTCATTAAGTTGAATTAATTAATTAAATTAATAAATTAAATTCATTAATTAAATCATTTGCAAAAAAAGTTATTTACTTTTTAAAATAATTACCATTTTATATGCATAGCGCTTTTAAGTTGTAAACATTAATATGAATTTTTGAGCCTGCAATAAAATAATTGTTAAAGAAATAAATTTAATTAATTAATTGAATTAGTAATGCGTTCATTAATTTTGTTTTCAAATTATGTATTTTTGAAGTGTACACAGCGCTCGAAATGTTATACAAAAAAATATCTAAAAACAATATGAATTATTGTACCATCCAATTTATTAATTGCTAAATTAATTAGTATTTTTTTAAGAATAAGTACTTTTTTAATTGTACAATACATGTAATGCAATTTAAAGCATTTTAAAAATAATGTAAATGATTACTATAACGTCAAAACATGAACAATTGCAATTGAAGGGATCAGAATCATTCTTTTTGCGTTAACAGCAGGTTACACCTAGGAAATTACGATTTATTTACATTCAAGAATATAAATAAAATGCTAATTAGGTTTACAAAGCAAAAAACTTGAAGCTGGTCTCCATTATTGAACACTTTCCAAGCAATCGCCGCTAGTGTGCTTAAGTTGATTGCTTGCCCGGTCCCCTCCACGGCCCCACCCCCACATACCCTTAAACAACTTCTCTGATATTAAAGCACTGCTAAATCTCAATGTTTCTTTTCACTGACGCTAATTGAATTTCCTTTTTATTTATTTCTTTGTTGATTCATTTATTCCATTATTTCTCCATGTACTCGTGTTTTGAAAATGTTTCTTCTTCATCATTAATGAAAATCCCGCCCGCAAGGTTGCGATCGCCTTGGCGCAAGTTAAAATGGCGCAGTGTAATTTGCGTGCTTCGGGAGTCCCTTGCGCAAGTTTAAACTTGCGTGGGGGACTCAAATTGCGCTCGACATGAGCATGTCATGTCATTGTCAGCTGAAGTTACTCAAGCTACACCCACCCGGCCCTGCACAGCTGCGCTGCACAAACAAAATGATACAAACTGACTGAACCTTTTGAAGCCAGGCTAAACACTGAAACAGGTCATTTTTACTCACCGCTAAAACCTTTTTGGTGCACCCATAGCTTGCAGAGCTTCATCCCGCTTCAAATGAGCCCCTCTATGGCTCAGTAGCACTTGTGGAATGAGTGATATACTGAACGATTCTGTCCTGCAGAACCCGAAAGTGTAACCACCCCCATGGGCGCAGCCATACTTGACGTCGTTCGGATATTTTTGGGGAGGCAACGGACTGATATAAGTTTATGTACTTTAAAAGATATCCGAAATTTAAATAGATAGCGTTTGTCTAGTACCCAGAATCGGTGTTATCTTTTACCACTGAAAATCGTCCACAGTCTAAAAGGATTCCGTTCGTAGCAATTCACGCGTACAAACTAACGTTACAAAGTCACTGTATTTTATTCACTTTGACTGCGTTAGTTTTAAGGCGCAAAAACACTACAGGAATGACTAGTTTGCTTCAGAAGTCAGTGAGGGGCCTTTTTTGTACAAATTTGGCAATAAAGTCTAAAATAAAAGGTAAGGTGGTGGAAAGAATGATGTCATCTTCTTGACTGTGTGTACAAAGTCAATGGAGAGTCGAATAGCCCAGGTTGGACACATGTTGGATGGAGTTGGCATGCAGTGGCACTCTCATTATTGAGTCCCAAATTTTCGGACTAGAGTTGGATTCCGTTGTGTACACGCAACAGAATCCAGGATATGTACGTCTGCAATAGGCATAGTGAAAAAAATTAGAAAACAGATTTTTTTTTCATATTTTTACCTGATGGAGGAAGCTGAAATTTCATTGACATATTCATTGTGTCCAGAATTGTGCATACGCTGGGTTTAGAAAAGGCAAATAGGCCTATGTCCGCGGGTGGCGTGTTTACCAAAAATAAACCGCAATTCCATGCTTTCATTGAAAACATTTTCAGTACGAACTCCCCGTGTGAAGGTAACGCATGTGCGTGCATGCACACCTACATGAAGGACGCTGCCATAACGGCAGCTAACGGCACGTGCGTGTACGTCTTCACGCAGGGAGTTCATACTGAAAATGTTTTCAACGAAAGCGTAGAACTTGCGGTTTATTTTCGGTAAACACGCCGCCCACGGACATAGTTGCCTTTTCTGAACCCAATGTACGCACAATTCTGGACACAAGGAATATGTAAGGCAGTGTATATTTTGCCGGAGACGGCAAACCTTTAGTAAACATTAGTTTGCCGGATATGCACTGAACATGCGCAGTTACTGTTTTTTTGTACTTAAAAATTTTCCGGTGACAAGTTTTAGTCTGGCTCCATGCCAAAATTATCGTTGTTACCTCGTATTCACAAGATGGGATTCAGACCATTTTATAATTTCGGACTTTATTTCCCTTTTGAAAAAAAATCCTCCAGAGCCACAAGTCTGAAAAAGAAAATGTAATACTCTGCAATAAAATGTTTGAGACATGTTAAAATAATAAAAGAAGAATATTCTTATTTATTTGGGGATGAGAAAAAAAACTAAAAAAATGTGGTGCGGTCGGAATCGAACGCGAGTCATCCCGCTTACTAGAGCCTTTGCATAACCATTACACCAAACGTGCTACACAACATTTGGTGGGAATTTAATACATGTTATAATTCAGCCCTATTTTAAAGAGTACAGCGCCCTCTGTTGATATGGATTGCTGCCGGCAAACCTTTAGTAATCGTTAGTTTGCCGTCATTACCTCCGGCAAAATATCCACTACCTATAAGTAAACGAAATTTCAGCTTCCTCCATCAGGTAAGAATATAGATATAACTTAATTTAAAATTGACTCCCAGTTGATCGTCCCTGGAATCTGCCCCAAAACCCCCCCCCCCCCTCCCCCGCTCGACTTTTTCCGCGATAGCCTTTTTAAATAACAAAAAAATTGTTTCGCGACCCCAGCTGTTCTGACTTTTTAGCATCAAGCCTTGCGCTAGTAGTAGTAGCCTTGCACATCTTTTAATACCAAAACCATAAAAATCGGATCAAGGGTTGCCGCGCAGTAAAAAAAATTCCGGCGATGATCATAATAACCCGGCCCTTGTTTTTTAGGGTTAGCTGCCAGTGAAAAACTACATGCAAATGAATAGATGATGTCATCACCTGAAACCGACCCACACCTTTAGCAGACGGGTAATATGACACAATTTGTAAATTTGTCCTATTTCAGGTTTTCTGCATGAAGCAAGCAAAGCAGTATTTATTCCCACAGCCTCATTGAAGGATCTGAAACCCATTGAGACATTTGAACGTGAGTTCCTGAATTACTGGTTTTGAGCTACAGTGTACATAGAAAATAAATGGAACGATGGTTTGTTTGGCATTGTTCAATATTCCCCACATCTCCTTGCCAATCTTACTCCTTCTGGTATCTCACATAATTTATTATAACACCTTACCTACAGATTCTGTATCTTAATTGGCCGAGAGCGAGTCACATGGCATTCGCTATTTTTGCACTCTTGTTGTGCTTGGCCAAAAGCATATGGCCTATGTTTTTCCCCCCTTCAATATGAGTTTATATAATCTTTCTTCAGATGTGACGATACCTGAGAGACCCAAGCTGAAGTTCTACAACAAAGTCCCTAAGAGGACACGCTACAAGAAAGTCTTCAAACGGCTGATTCAGATCAGAGGCCCCTCGGAGGTTGCAAATAAACTCAAGCTAGGACAGTATGGCATTGTGGTAAGAGCGCTCAAACATTCAGCCAGTGTCGTCTAAACTATTTTTCATTCTTTCTTTTTTCTTTTCTATCACTGCAGGATTTGTATTTCTTACAAATGCAATGAACCCAAGATCCAAAGCACAGTGCAATTCATTGAGACCAGTGTCCATGAAAACCTGATTTCTTTCCACGTGTCTAACTAATCTTTAAAAAATATTCTGGCCTACATGTACATACTTGTAGCTTGGGTACTAGACTGAGGTGGCTTCCTGTATGCTTTGATATGAAGCCCAGGAAGGGACAGGGTGGCAATGTGTTTGACTGTTAGCTCAAACCCCCCGCCCTTCAACCAGGGCGCTGGGATACGCTGATGGGCTTTCACAGAATCATGGGAGGAAGCGGGGATGGCATTCTGGGTAAATCATGACCTATGTATAAAGCATCTGGCTGCAGCTGTTTAAGACCGCTGTTAGCCCATGCGCGCAAATGCTATCCGAAAACTTTCTCATAGAAACGCACGCATTCTATATACCAAATTTTGAGCATAAATAATGCAATTGACCCTTCGTGAATTCGAAACGGAGCCTGAGCAAGTGACGGGAATTGAAAATTTACAAAATGGATAAGTTTTCAACGAAAAAAAAGCATTTATTAATGGGAAAAAAATAGTGATGGCTCAGTCTTAATGGCCGTTTCAAACCTTGCAGGGTCGTGGCAGTGATGACTTTAAGGTCACAGGTCACGCAAAATCTATCCAATCAGAGCGTGAATTCATCAGCGTATCCCAGCGTCCTGTTTGCCTAGGAAGCCCGATCTTGCCAGTTTTCATTTGTATTTCTTAATTCATTGCAAATAATGCAAATACTTTTGTGAACAAACACCCAGGGTGTTCAGTTTGGCCTTAATTGTATGCAGGAATTGTCCACTTGTTAACTTTTCTCTGGAAGTCGGATTTTGTCAATTGCGCTCGGTTTATTTTTGCATGGTTCAGATTGGAAAGGGGCAGGGGTTGCAGACAACAACACGGCTGTTTGATCTTGTAAATTTTTCAGAATGTGATCTTCAGAAAACATAGATATTAAATAACATGAATAGTGGAAATTTCTGTCATTTTTTTTTGGGGGGGGGGGGACCCCAGATTTTAAGGCATTTGATATCTTTCGACGGCCCTCATTAACCCTAACCAAACTCAACCCATCAAAGCCCAACAGCAGGTTTTGTTGATATCTGTTGGGATAGGTACAGTACCCCTAAACTAAATTGGGTTTGGCATACCTCCAGAAACTAAGTCCAACTGTGTGTGTGTACGATTTCCCATGTGGGTGTTGCAATTTGCCAGTATGGGTATGGTTCCTAGTAAATTAGGCTAGGGAGTTCGGTTAATGTGTGTTTTTAAACACAGCAGTCGCAAAATGGGCATAAAGCAGGAATAGGCGATGAAAGAGGAAACTTAATTATCCCCCCCCCCCAAACTATTAGTGGTGCGATTACATGTATGAGCAGTTAACCCAGTAAGAAGAAACCAATTTCTTTGTTGGTAGAATGTGAATAATCACTGCATCTCACATTACAATGTAACGATGCAGGGGAAGTGATAATGATTGATGATTTTAGGTAAATGTGAAGATGTTCAATATAGCACCATGGTAAAGAAAACTACTACATGTACATTTTGTAATTTTAAATGAATAATAAGGACATATGAAACATCCAAATTTTACAGGTTTTTCTCGCCGGTTTCACCCCTTCCCTAAAAAAAACTCATTTATAACCCGTCTATTCAATTTCATTTGGAAATAAAATGTTTTAGATCAAGAATCAATTCCAGAAACCATATTTTGATCTGAATTACAAAAATGCTTTGTTGAAAGCCTGTTAAAGAAACTGAGCGTTTTTTTTTTAAGTTTGGCCAAAAACTGTAATTTTCACTCTTCATGTATTTCCAAAGACACACTCCTATGGAAGGGGGAGGGCACTAGGCAAGGGTGGATTTAATGGGATTATTTGTGAGGTTAAGCCCCATCTTCCATCTGAACAATTATTTTGTCATTTTGTTAAGATGTTAGCCTGAAAAAAAATCCCAATACACTGGGAGATTACTGAAATAAAGTTTGTCACACGAACAATTTCAGTTCGTTGTTTTAGGCCCTTAGTCCATCTTAATTATCTCTGTCTTGCCTTCAACGCCTTCTGCCAATCCCCTTTAATTAATTAAAAATCCGTCGCTAAAATGTTTTCCCTAGGTTTTCCTGGCCAATTTCGCAAAGTGTTTGTTTGCTTCTGAAGATCAGTCACTCAACATCTGAAGTTGAATGCACGTCTTCAATTCTGTTTCAATTCAACAAAAATTTAATTTGTTTACATTTTGTAGTGTTCAGTGGCATGGGGGAGGAGGTAATTTACCCCCGATTTTTTCTCGAGTGTCCTTTTTCCGGGAGTGCCCTTTTTTCATGAATGCCCTTTTTTTACGAGTGTCTTTTGTTGCGCGTAAACATCAGCAGCATTGTGCTGCCATGGAGAGCGCCACCTATTGTGCAATAGTGTCCATGATCGTGCCCTTTGAAAAGCTCCCCCATAGGAAGATGGTGTCCAGCTCCCCCACCCCAACCCCATTACCATGATTACACTACAAGTGAAACAGAATGGTTGATCGTCACATTTTGCCTCCTGAACGCTTTAAAGAAAGTGTATAAACTAATCCGATTTGACTTTAATAAACGAAACGTTCTGCACAAACATTTTAACTGGTGGAACTGAAACGGAATCAAATGCTTGTGTAGCGAAAAATAAAACAACTATTCAGAACGATTCTCAAAATCTTGGGGGAATTGAATATTCATCGTATCCTAATGAATGAACACTTTGCGAAAAATGGCCGAGAAAACCTAAAATGCACAAGTGAGAATTTACGATAGAAGGTCAATAAAGGTTCAATAAACGAACACATACATTCCTTCAATTACCGGTATTCACCTTGTGTTATGTTGCAATAGTACATTGCATAACTGTTTCATTTATTTTCTTTTTTTATCTTACTAAACCTGGCACAATCAGGTTTTTCATAGCAAGTCATTGGAATGAACTAGTACCCCTTAATCATGGGAACGAATTATAAATTCTGTAAATGATCTACAAAATCGTGCGAAGGAATGAGTAAATCGTGGGAACAAATGAGGAAATCGTGCAAACGAATTAGTGTCCGTGCAAACGATTTGGCTAAATCGAGCAAACGAATTAGTGAATGATGGGAACAATTTAGTAAATTATTGGTACGAATTAGCAAATTATGCGTATGAATTAGTAAATCGTGCGAACAATTTAGTAAATTGGCGAAGAAATTGCTACATCATGGGAAGGAATTAGTAAATCGTGCAAACGAATTACCGGTAGATTAGATTAGATTAGATTAGAAATTTATTGTCCGCATCATAAAAATACAGAAATTAGTAAATAGTGAGAACAAAGTAAATCAAGTGAACAAATTAGTAAAACGTGCGAATGAATTAGTAAATAATGCGATTTAATTAATAAATCGTGCGAATGAGTAAGCAATGGCCAAAAAAAGTCCACCCTGTCCCTTCTCAGGCTTCAAACCTTGATGAACTTTTGATGAACATTTGATGAACTTTTGAGGCTTTGAAATGTATTTTTAAAAATGGGAAAAACAGGGAAGCTCAAGCCATTGTAAGCAATACAAGATTTGATTGTAAAGAGAACTTCTGAAGTAGAATCACTAGCTAGTTACATGTACATGTAGATGTACATGTACATCCTATCAAGAGGTAAAATGGCCAGTTCTTTAGTGATCCAACTCGTAAAGTTAAACCCTGTTTTGTAATTTTGGTGTGAAGTTAGCGTTACAATATTTTGTAAAGGTTTTTAAGCCAGTAAAGGAATTGCATCAATTGACAATTTTCATTCATGTACATCCCACAGGCTAGAAGTGGCGGTTATTTACACCACGGCCATTTTGAGATGATGCGCCTGACCGTCAACCGCGCCCTGGATTCCAGCCGCATGTATGCCAGATGGAGGGTGGAGCCACCCATTAAACCAATCACCAAAAAGGGGCAGGGCCAACGGATGGGAGGAGGAAAAGGTAAGAACGCAGTACTCATGGTCGATCCTGTTACCTGCCACCAAAATAGTAGGAATGGGTGCTTAGAGTCTGGGTGCTGATAATTACCCTCGCCTCCGGCTCGGGTAATTATCAGCACCCAGACTCTAAGCGGTCTTAAACAGAGTGATGAAAACCTCCGGAGCACACATTTATTCCCTTATTAACTGTTGTAATCATGGTCATAGGTTTCCCCTTTAAGGTTAAACCCATTAGCCCATGTTACCTGATCCAAATGGGTAGTTTGAAACTTGATGCTAAGTGAAAGAGTCATGTCATCCAAAACATTATCCACATGCTTGTGTGGCCATGTTGCTGAAACCTTCAAGCTGTTGTAAGAATATTTTTTAAAATGTTGTACACTACAGGGTGAGTAAAAAAAAAACATATGACAGGAGCAATTTTTGAACAACGTTTTGCCTGTAGCACTTTCAAAATCTAGGATATGAAAGCCCAATCAATGAGCTTTCTTTTAATACAAGAAAACAATTTTCATAGGGATGCATGTGAATTGTTTTCGTTTTGCTGAAAGAACACTCTAATAGACCAAAGACAAGTTCGTTTAGAACTTACAGCAGGACTGTTCTTATCAGAACAAAAAAGTACTTAGCAAAGTTGATAATAAGCAGGACAAGTTCTTTTCAGAACTACATGTAATGTCTTCTAAGCAGTAGTTATTACCACATGGTGTTACTGCAAACCGAAACGATACCAAACACTCTAATACCTTTTTTGTGATCAGTGGGCAGAACTTTAAAACAGTGTTTGCGTTCAAAATTCTGTAACTTGAAAAGTACATGAGTGATTTGAATGATTCTTATACTAAAAGAAAGCTTGTTGATTGGGCTTTCATATCCTAGATTTTGAAAGTGCTACAGGCAAAACTTCATTCAAAAATTGCTCCTGCCATTTGGGTTTCGTTATTTTTTTACTCACCGTCTATGTACATATATGCCAGTGGGGAGGTACATGTACACACTTGCCTTCATAAACTCTTTAGGCAGAGGTAAATTTGTTTAATGGAATTGGAAATCAAGTGTGTTGATAAGGTATCTGGTCAGCCTGTGGACTTTGTTAAGGAGAATACACAAGAAAGTGTGGATTCGTAATTCGTAATTTAAGAATCCACACTTGCGAGTGTATTCTTCGACTTAAACCATTGCGTCAACAGAAGTATTGGAAAGAATGCTGCAACCTGACGCCACTATTTCTTCATATATCATCTCAACGAAGGCCATTCGTCAGTTGCAAAAATGATAAGACTGGGACTGATAAATGTTTCCAAAATTGTTAGGAAATACTTGAAATGACTCTCCGTAGCCCTTGTACACAAGCGCGGTAGTGGCGTCAGGTTGCAGCATTTTTTTCCTGGCGTGTTTAGCATGTGTATCGCCACACCCGTACAACCAAGTCATTTTGTGTGTATAGACTCTTTACATCAAAATGGATAGTTCAGAAAACGATTTCTTTCTGACTAAAAGTAGATTTTGCAGTGACGGTGGAAAATCTGACAGTGAAGATGCATTGGTAATTTTCAGAAATCAAATTTTCACGCAGACGGTCGTATTCATGCTCATTGTGGAGAACAATTGTCCGACATGTTCAAAGTGTGGATTCGTAATTCCGAATCCACACTTTACTAAAGATTCGTCGTTCTGAATCCACACTTTGTGACCAGTGTAAGAGATTCGTAGATCCGAATCCACACTTTTAACAATAGTGTGACGTCATAGCAATGGTTTAATTGTTTATAGTCTCTTACATTTAGTTTTAGTGAATCGTTCGCTCTTACTGCATCATCATGTATTTCTGTCTCAATCCTGCAGTATGCATGAATTCAACCTTGTTACCTTGACCCAGACAATGTCAATCTAGTATCTCTCTTGACTCTATCATCCAAAATATAAAGAAATAAACACTTTATGTCAGTCTTTTCCCACAACTTCAGAAATGAGAGATACTTGTAAGGTAAAATTACTGTTCTTGGTCTCCTGTTCACCCACCCCTTCTCCCATTCCCCGCCTACAATCATGTACAAAGGTATCACTGCAGTCAGTGCAGAGAAATCTTGCCCATCATTTGTAATTTGTGCATTACGTTTGTATGAAGCAACAAAAGTGCCCACAATCTAAAGAAGGGTGCTGAACAACCACATGTTCAGGCATGAGAATCTTCCTGTTTAAACAGGAATTCCTGTTTTTTGTTGCCCAAATTTCCACTTTTTTATTTATTTTGAGCCTGTTTTGGGGCTTTTTTGCCTTATTTCACATATTTTTCCTGTTTTTTTGCCCAAGTTTCCTGGTTTTTTTTTCATTGAAATTCATTCTCATGCCTGCGTGTAACCTGATGAACTTTTAGCTCAGTGAATGCTGTTTATCCCGAGAAAACAATATTTTAGGATCTCGATTTCAAACAGAAGTAGCGGAGTCATGTTTTGAGTTGGGCCTGAATTCAGCGTCTGAGACACGTTCTCACTGAGCCGATTGCAGCTACACGATAGCCCTTTTCACACTAGACAAATCTTGAGGTTGAAGCAGGGTTAAAAACATGCATCGTTTTCACACTTAAAGAATTTCAACCCTGCGTCAACCCCGAGATTGATTTCACCCCGAGTTAAACTCAACCCTGCTCCAGACCAGGGTTGAGATTTCCAACCCGGGTTGAAATTCTTGCCAGGGTTGAAAACAGTAAGTACATGTAACTGCGCATGACAAGCTTGATTTGCATGAAACAAGTGTGACACAATGCAGGGTTGAACGCGGGGTTGAAAAATAAATAACTCAACCTTGGGCAGCACTGGATTTGCCCAGGGTTGAGTTCAACCCGGGTTGAGAGGCTTTAGTGTGAAAAGGGCTTTAGCATTTGTGGAATAGTGTAACATTAGCCCTGTTCAATACTAAACTCAGTTTGGTTGTTTTTATCCTACCTACACCCCAGGCAGTGTGGATCACTATGTGACCCCAGTCAAGGCCAACCGTATGATCTTGGAGGTGGGCGGCAAGATGGAGTTTCAGGAAGTCCAAGCCGTTCTAGTCCAAGTTGCTAAGAAGCTGCCGTTCCGTGCCGAGGTGGTCACAGCGGAGAGTATGAAAGTGAAGGAGCAAGCTCGTCTTGAGAAGATTGAGAGTAATGCCAATCCGTGGACCTTTGAGAAGATTGCTGTTGGAAATTACCTCGGCATCTCTAATCGTCTCGGTCCCTATGATTACAAATGGTTTGGGGAGTACAGGTGAATGGTATCTGGACCTGTTTCTATGGACTAGACACGTTGGCATCCCCTTGTTGCTATCCCTAGGTATGGATAAAAACTGCTGAGATGCATCAGAGACCTTCTCAGAACACATGACTGCATCATCACTTGAGAAGTTGAAGGGATTAGCGGTTGGACTAGCCAAGAGCTTCAATATCACAGAACAAGAGCCAACGTCATTTATCTCCCCCCCCCCAACCCGGGTGCGTATTTTGTTGTACATGTACAAGTCACTCTTATAAAAAAATATCATTTGTAGATGGGTAATTCCACACTAATGGGCCAATTAGGTAAGGTTAAGGATGTTGCAAATAAAGGGTAAAAGATGAGCTAGTATTTTCTTCAGTTTTTTCCTATACCTTGCTAGGTTGAAAGTGACTTGGACAAGACAAGACAAAAGATGATATCTTTTTTATTTGAGAAACTAACAGGTCTTTTTTTCTGTATTTAACGTATGTAACATGGACAGACACAGGAAAAGGGTGCTTGGGACAAATTCAGGACAAAATTTACATTGTTATCAAGCGAAAATATAACAGTTTTCACACTGTTTTCAAATTTATGATGTAATTAGTGTTACGTACGAACAGGGACAGACATTTTGTGACAAATGTCCAGTCTGTTCGTACGAATAATTCCTGATAATAAAATATCAAATAATTCTTCACATTGACTCTCAGGTTACATCTTTTTTAAATACATCAATATTAAGGGAATAAATGTGTGCTCCGGAGGTTTTTATCACTCTGTTTAATACCACTTAGAGTCTGGGTGCTGATAATTACCCGAGCCGGAGGCGAGGGTAATTATCAGCACCCAGACTCTAAGTGGTATTAAACAGAGTGATAAATACCGACGGAGTACATATTTATTCCCATTCATAAATACCTTTTCGGTAAAAAAAAATCATATAATTCGTTCAAAACATCCCGATTTTGTTCAACAAATTCACTTTATGCTTTTTGAAACATCCCTCCTGCAAAATAATGGAGTGTTCAGCTGGCGAGTAAGATGAAAACAACCCTTTTATGGAGATTGACGCGCGCGTATCATGTTCTACGCGATGTCGCGCAGAACGCACCTGGCGCGTTGCGTTTTGAATTTAGAACTATAAAATTCTAACTCCCTGGTAGTGTTGCGCATGCCTACGTGAGGATTGTGAACGTTCAACCAATGAAACGATAAGAGGCACTGGATTTTTAGGAGTCCATATTTTATTGTGACACTGGAAAAGTGTTTAAGACCAGCTAGCCATGTCTTTATCATCCGTTTAATACCGGCCACGTGACGGGCTCTCGACCAATAGGAATGGCTAAACTGTCTGAGGTATTTATGAACAGGGGATCATTACATTTTATAATAATAATAATAATATTGGATATTTATAAAGCGCACGTATCCACCAGGACTGGTGCTCAAGGCGCTACATCATTTATTTATGCTTAATTTGTGACTTGATCTAAGACATCTGTCCTTTGTCGCGTACGTAACACTTTTGAAAACAGTATCCACTATATTTTCTAAAATACAAAACCTGTTATAAATATCATTTGCAGGTGAGGATATTTGTTCGAAGCTTGCAATGTTTACAGCAAAAATTGATAGACCTAGATCCTAGATTTATCATTAAAACTTAAAGGTCTTCTCAAATACATGTCACACTTTTGGGCCCATTAGCGTGGAATTGCCCAGATGTTGCTGCCTCTGTGCCATCTTGTGCATCTGAAGATTTCCAAGCTAGTCTTAAAGGGAAGATACAACATTTGCAAACATCAAAAAACAAAATGATCAAATTATCACGAAATTCTATACTGAAATTTTAGTGAATGACAGTTTAAAGCATCCTGTAAAATCATGGCTCCTGGTGAACTGACATTTTTAAGTAAAGTGGTATTTTTGTATCAATTTCCAACGCTGATCGGCCGACCAGCGTTGGAAAAAACTGGCTTTTTTCAAAAACTGTTCCTAATTTTTCATATTTAGTTTTTCTGCATTTTCTTTGCAATTGATTACACACCCGTGAAGGGGTACAAGCCAGCTAGACTGATTCTCTAACTGTACAATTCCCCAATGTCTATAAATTGCTCCGGCATCTTAAGTGGGGTCAGGGAACCAGACTTCAAGAACATGATTGGTTTTCGTGGTTTTTCCAGCATCTACGAACCCAAAACGTGAAACAAGTCAGTGTAACAATATTAGCTATAACATACTAATCCTCCAAATCCATTTATTTTTGAAAATTACAAAAAAAGAAAATGTTGTACATTCCCTTTAAGAAATGTTAAGTCCTTGGATGAATACATCTGATTTTAAGTTACTATTGATAGTAATGGAATAAAAACAAAGGCGGCTGCTTTATACAGGCAGAATCAATTCGGTATACAAAAAAGTATTTTGTTGTTCTAAGTTTGATATTACCAAAATAAGTTTTACAGTTCACTGTATGGTGTACACAATTTTTTTTCTAAAGCTCAAGCTTCATATTTTTGCCAACTGCTTTCCCCAAAGAAATGTAGTCTTGCCACAATTAGAGGCACACCTTCATGCAGAATGCAACCTTTTGAGCTCGAAAACACATTTCTCACAAAATGAAAATAGCTGGAAAGCGTTGTTAAAAAGTAAAATATAGACATTAAAAAAATCTGTACCTTAAAGGGAATGTACAACATTTGCTTTTGCTGCAATTTTCAGAAATAAATAGATTTGGAGGATTAGTATGTTATAAAAAAATATTGTTAAACTGACTTGTTTCACGTTTTGGGCTTGTTGTAGATGCTGGAAAAACCAAAAGAAAACCAATCTGCTCTTGTAGTCTGGTTCCCTGACCCCACTTAAGATGAAAGAAGCAATTTATAAACATCAGGGAATTGTAAGGTCAGAGAATCAGTCTAGCAGGCTTGCACCCCTTCAATCAATGTGTAATCAATTGCAAAAAAATTGCGGAATAACTAAATATGAATAATTAGGAGCAGTTTTTGAAATAAGCCAGTTTTCTCCAACGCTGGTCAGACGACCAGTGTTGGAAAAATACAATTTTTCTTGAAAATGTCAGCACACCAGGAGCCACGATTTTACAGGACGCTTTAGACTGTCATTCCCTAAGAGTCTAGTCAGGTATATCGTGATAATTGGATCATTTTCTTTTGTGATGTTTGCAAATGTGGTATCTTCCCTTTAAAACTGTCCAGTTTCTGTGTAATTACATGTATCATGGAAAGGAATTTCAGGGTACAAAAGTCTGGTCCTAAAATATTGAGATGTTGGAGTGCAACTACATGTACTTGTAGTATTGCATGAAATGAAACAATTCTCAAACAAGTTGCTTTAAACGTGTTGTCATTATTGCGGGATCTGATTCCTAATAGCGACATATCACCTGCTTGGCGTGCAGTATATGCGATAGCAGTCTGGCATTGACAGCTGAGAATTATATGGAAATACATATAGGCAAGGGAAAATAGCTGTTGTGTCAGATGTAAACAAACAAGGTTTATCAACATTATTTTGTTAAATTCAGTATATTATGTGGGTTTTTCCCAGAAATATGGTCAGTGAATAATAACACAAATTTATGGCTACTTTCAGCTGAATGTTACCTTTACTTGTGAAAGCCATTACAATCTTGCAGATTTTACAGCAGATGTTTCAAAATGTCAAACTCTGTTTTTTGCATTCAGGGAAGTATGAAGCGGCTTAAGTTGTCGGTTGTGTTACAAACATTCAGAGTTATACAAAAGAGTACGCAACATACCGGTAATAAATGTGTTTGTTTGGTTTGGGCTCAGGGGCGTCAATCGGGGGGGGGGGGGGGGTATATCTACCCTACCCCCTTTTTTATCGGGGGATGGGCTATTGAATCATTATTCATACCAAAAAAAATCACAACAGCCTGTCAATAATCAATAGCACTGAACAATTGAGGGAAGTACAAAAGCTTAAAATGTGCTGTTTTATTACTCCTAGAACTATGAGGCTCCACGTAGTGGAGCCTCATAGGTTCAGAAGCCCGCAAAATTGTTGTCAGCACAAAACACTAATTAAGTACAAAAACGTCCATCCCAAGCAGGCCGTTTTCCACAGAACCGCTGCACAGTTTGCCCCTAAACTCCATACAATACCTCATGACATACTCACGTTATGTGCACCCAACAAACATCGGTGGATTCTGTCTGTTTTTCGGCAAAAATGATGAAAAATATGCCCTTTCTGCACTGAGCCAACCTAACACTTGAAACGAGCACGCGTGCAGAATGATCGCAGTCATTTTCGGTTCGATCGCTCGGAGCGCGCCGCGGGGGGTATGGTGTAGGAGCGGAACGATAGTATGCACATGCGTACAAGTGCAAGTACGTACCCCCCGCGGCGCGCTCCGAGCGATCGAACCGAAAATAACTGCGATCATTCTGCACGCGTGCTCGTTTCAAGTGTTAGGTTGGCTCAGTGCGGAAAGGGCATATTTTTCATCATTTTTGCCGAAAAACAGACAGAATCCACCGATGTTTGTTGGGTGCACATAACGTGAGTATGTCATGAGGTATTGTATGGAGTTTAGGGGCAAACTGTGCAGCGGTTCTGTGGAAAACGGCCTGCTTGGGATGGACGTTTTTGTACTTAATTAGTGTTTTGTGCTGACAACAATTTTGCGGGCTTCTGAACCTATGAGGCTCCACTACGTGGAGCCTCATAGTTCTAGGAGTACTGTTTTATATGTAACTGCGAGTATACATCAGAGATGCCACTTTTCCGGTTTTAACCGGAATTCCGGTTTTTTAAAAAAATCTCACAAAATTCCGGTTTTTCCGGCCGTCAAATTAACCAGAAAAAGAGAAGAAAAACTGTGGAAATGCGTTGATTTTTACCTCGATTTAGTACATTTAGGCGCACGCATGGCACAACGTTGTTCGTTGAAGTAGTCTTAAAAACAGTCTTTGTGTATGTTGTTGCCGAGCCTGCATGCGATACAAACGGCCAACGTACTTAATTGCACACAGTATACAACGGCGCCTCGCGCGTGCTTCACCGCGTGTGGGCGTGTTGTGTGCTAAGCACACGTAGCATTCAGCCTGGAAATCAAGTCTATCATTTCAGCTATCGGTGGTTTCCGATCGCAGTGATATATGTGAATACAAAAAATACGGGTACCAACCATGTTTTCGTTGAGCGCATCGCGTAGTGCAAGGATCATGTACA